CCTCTATATTACCAGTCGTAATCTAGATTTGAGCACTAGTGATAGACAAATAATAATAAAAAATCTTGCGCACTTCTATGAATCAGAAAACAAACTTGCTCCTAATGAGCATGAAAATAAAATACTGTGACATATGCTAAACTATATCAGCTGTTACACATAACCCCTATCTCATAAACGTGAATACAATTATATCATAAAAAACAGTGCAGCGCTACAATTCATAAGACCAAAATACAAAAGTGTACGAGAAAATTATACATAAAAAATTCATTAAAAAAATATATATATATATTAATAAAATAAAAGTTGAAACAAATTTCTTCTGGTGTGCCCCCTCCTTCTGTGATCACCAAGTGCTTCAAACACAATAGTGCATAATTCCACCACCCAGGGGCGGACTGACAACTCATGGGGCCCCCAGGCAATAGGGGATCATGGGGCCCCTATGTCCTTGCCTTGCCTCATTTCATTCTGAGAAATTTTATTTTGGAAATCATGTGAACAGTCCATTTGCAATATATAGTCCCACTTAGATGGGATTTAATATGTGATAGGACTTTCAACTCTATTGAACATTTATGAATTATTCATTTTAAATTTATTTATTTTTATCAATTAATATTGGTTATTTCTATCAATTAATATTAATTATTTTTTAGATTATTTATTTATTTATTTATTTTTTTTATTGATGTATATTAATGAGTTGCACATTTTATATATTTCTATATTTGGAGAAATTAAGGGTAATTATTTATAAATTACAGAATTATTATTTGTTAAAAATTGATTTTATTTATTTATTCACGGCTCTAATATAAGGGCGCGGCACCATTTTCCTTTTTAATTTGTTACTTTTTGTATATTCAATGAGAATATAGCTAGGAGCTCGCGAACCTACCTTAGATTTCTAGTGGCTCATAGGATATTTTTATTTTATATATGCAAAAAAATCTTGTGCCGTATTGCTAAACGACCGGAACAGTGTGTACTCCTTTTGGGATTGTGCAGTATCGCTGCTGTAAACGCCGGCTCCGTATTGCGTTGTGACGTCATTCGAAGCTCCTAATATGCACTATTGTGTTTGAAGCACTTGGTGATCACAGAAGGGGGGGCACACCATAAAGAAGAAATGTGTTGGACTTTCATTTCATTAATATTATTATTTTTATGCATAACTTTTATGTATAATTTTCCTGTACACTTTTGTATTTTGGTCTTATGAATTGCAGCGTTGCACTGTTTTTATCAGTAGATTTGAGCACTGTCTCTACTAACAAAGGGTTCAAAATTTAGAAACCATCCTATTAGCCAGCAATCATTACATTACTGTGATCAGGACCAAATCACAAATAACTGAACACTGGCCTGCCTTCAATTACTCTTCTGTCTGCCAGTCTGCTGCTCTTTAGCACACTTGCTGGTGCTTTTAGGCTTCCCAAGTTACACCATTGTCAACTGTATCCTTGGACCACCTGCAGGGTACAACGAGTTCTGCATTTAAAGAAAAACCATGCAGGAAATACATACTTATTTTTGGAGGCTCTGAAAGGACTAAGTACCTATCGTCTGTATCCTCAGGTAGGCCTTAGTAGGCACTAGCAGTTCTGGTGCCCAGCTTACCAATCAAGATCTTCTCTATGCTACATTTTATAAATATATATATATATATATATATATATATAGATAGATAGATAGATATGGATAGCTATATATAGTACTACTCCCGTAGGAGCTGCAGGAATACCGTCAGGGTCTTCCCCACAAGCTTTGCCCCGCAGTCAGGCACACAGACTCATTCATACATTTTTCCAATGACCGGCTAGGAGTGTTGAACCTGATGAAGTAGTGCAGTGCAATCAAATCAATTGTGTGTAATATATCAATTGAAGTTAGCACCACAACCTGGTGCTGCAAATCTAGTATTAAGCAATGCTGAAAAACTAACTGTGTATATCATAATCCAGTGCCATAATCACAATCCAACTAAAGTGACATAAAGGTGCATTGTCACATTGCAAAAAAACTCATATATAAAAATTATTAATAAATACAACATTAGTGAATGCTCCAAAATTAATTCTTAAATATAAAGGTGAAAGTAATCCACACCCTGAAGTATACACTCCATGTGTGTGCAGAACCAAAAGGAATCCGTGCTGTCAAAATAAATGCTTAAATATTTATATATTTTTAACAAGTCCACACAAGCATAAGCAAAGTCCATGCTATTTCATTCCTTAATCCCAAATGGTATCACCACTATGCCAAGTGCTGGAAATGGCAGAATAGGAGCATCGATTGATCCATATGAAGGGCTGATAACCATCCGAATAAAGAGGCGCACACGAGAGAAGAGCTTGATACCCAGAGTGCAGTGCTATATTTATAAAGTGCATTCAACCTGTATGAGAATATGGGCCTAAATGTAAGGTGAGCTGCCAATTTGCACTTATGGTGAAGCACAGTTTGATTTGGCCCAGTGGTGATACGGTTTGGCATCAAGGATTGAAATAGCATGGGCTGTGCTTATACTTGGCAGCAGTCTTTATTATATTAGATCTATTACATATACTTTTTGGTGGCAGCACATACGTTTATTTCATTTCAGTCTAGGGGTGTTGCTTTGGCTGTTTTTTTATTTTTGGAGAACTTGGATAGGGTTGAAGAATTAAGTGGGACACTCCGAACACAAGACAATGTAACTATGTACACGTGAGGACTTCTTCAAGGCAAGCTATAATAAAGTTTGTGCTTGTAGAAAACAGTAGACTTTAGCTTTAAGGTAGTAGTTGTAGTAGTTAACTGTAAATCTCTTTCTTAGAGCCACAAGAGCAGAGTCCCTTTAACTCCCTCCCACAAGCCGTGCGCATATACACATCCTCTTTGTGGGTTAGCCTTAACAGTAAGAGGCCCCATATATGGGTACCTAAAAAAAACAGATCTGTACTGAGAGCTTCCACCACAGTTCATATGTTCTTATGTTCAGAAACCCGGCCCCACCTCTCAGCATCTGAAACCCCATAAAGGGCCGAGCGGTGCCAGCACCAAGGAGTTAAGTAGAAGATTATATAGACAAAGCTCTTTAGGACACCAGCCAGTGCCCTCTTTAACTAGACCCACAGCTGACTCTCTAGCACCAGAGGAATGGCAAAAGCACAAAAGGCCCCAAGATCTTTTGGAAGCATCTGTACTCACACAAGGCTCAAGGACAGGTGGTTGCTTCCTTCAAACTTCCAGGAAACACCTTACTCTGGTGATACCAAACCAGATTGTCAGTAGACAGCCCCCCACGGTCAGCTCTCTTTAGTTCCAGGGTCTCATCATCCAGACCCTCAGGTCACCCTGATGAGGCCTTAGGACAGCAGACATAACAGCATTGACTGGAAGGGCAGCATGTCCACTCCAGGCTGGACTAATCCTCTCCAGGAAAAGACCCTGAGTTCAGTGTGTTCACCAAATATATACAGTCTTCCAGCATGCCATCAGAACCTGCCCCTCTGGGATAGGCCAGGGTTGTATTGATATTCATGCTTCCATCTGCATAGCTCCACACCTATCGTCCAGAAACTTCTCAAGTTCTTTGGATGCAAAGGGAGCTATCAGACTGGCAGCAGCTGAACACCCTGAGCAGACCTGACTAGCAGAATGCAGCTTCACTGAATACAGTGAGCAAACTATGCTTTTTACCTAACAAGCAATTACAGCCACACTGAATACAGTGTGGTAACTAAATGTACCTATCAAAACTCATACTAAATCTATCTAAACTTAGCACCTATCTAGGAGGGTGCTGCATCTACTAGACCTGTTCCACTTTAGAATATCTGAAAAACATTGCCACCTGTGACATCAACCTCTTTGCCATTCTTCTGCCCAGACACTCTCTGCATCCAGCTTTGGAGGTTCTTAGACTAAAATTATATTGAAATTTTGTCTTTCTAAACTTTGGTCACCAACCAGGCATTTGATAGATTGGGAATGAATTTTGGCTCATTTGTGATTATCTTGTCCAGATTAGTACCCTGGGAAAAGGCATATAGCCTGGTCGTCATCACATGAGGTCTCTTGCATTCCTATCTCCATACCAGACAAGGTAAGAAGTTCTAATTCAATGACTTAAATGGACTGGCTAGCCTTTTCTTTGGCTATATCTACCTATGTCTGTGTGCCGTAATTGTATAGCTAAAATTGTCTCAAGTTATATGGCAGTTGCATGACAAAAGAATAATGTCAACATCTGTAGCCTAGCCTCTAAAGACGGAAGAAGATGGAAGACATAAAGTACCGGTGAAGCATATAAGAAAGCTTCACATTTCTAAAATAGATTCCTATGTTATCTTTTGCATAAAAGGAAATATCAAATCTTTAATGCAACAGAAAAATTAATCTTCTGTATTTAATTTTAGAAGTATTTTGCAAGGAATAAGATTTTTGTGTAGATATAGTTCTCCTTCCAATTCCCATTCTGTTATTATAATTTCATATCTATACATTCAGGACTAGAAGATTGTATGTAATTATTTTTAATACAGTCAGCGAACAGCGGATACTGGGGTCCTTGAGACACAATATCTGACATTGCTTAGACAAGAAAGAGGCCAGGACAATGTTGTATTAAATATGTTTTATAAGACATAACTTATCTTGAAGTGTTTGATATTTTCAATGGAACATTAAGATAGTTACAACCAAATATATGTGAATGCTATTTTGATAGCACTTATGTTTTAAAAATCTTGTTCTATTTATATATTTTGATTATATACAGTATGTACATTGGGGCAGTCATATTTTCTTGTGATATATGCATACTGCACATTCTACAGAGTGATTGATCAAAAACCCTTTGATAGTTACTTATCGCCACTCATTAGAGTGGCTGTAAGTAGCTCTTTATCTTTTGTCATACAGGGATTTTCTAAACTGTTAATAGAAATAATTTGTTATCTGTTATACTATTGTGCCCCTAATCTAATCCTTTCCATTTGATAAGATTAGATGAAAGTAATATACTTTCTAGGTGGCTTATCATGTTATATATTTAAAAAGTGTATTATTAAACAAATGCGCACTAGAGAAAAAATATACAAAATGAGAGGCAGAGTGGTGATGTCCAGGGGCGGACTGACCATTTGGAAACTCGGGCACTGCCTGAGGGCCCGGGGTCAGTAGGGGGCCCCATAAGAAGCCGCTGGTTCCTTTTTCATAGGCTTTTTTGAGCTTGGGCAAGGGCACAGGGGCCCCATGATCCCCTATGGCGTGAGTTGTCAGTCTGCCCCTGGTGATGTCACTATCTCTACCTTGTTCAGTCAGAGAACACCTTGTATTCATTGGAGAAAAATCCCATCCTTCTCTGTCCATTTCATATTGATACATTGATTATTTTTTTTCCAAGGAAAACAACACTACTGCATTAGTTCCAAGAGAGGATTACTAGATTTTCAAAATTAAATCCAGGGACACCTGACTGACCATGCCCACTTTTAATCACAATCTCAGAATCACACTCCCACTTGTAGCTACACTCATAAAAATTACACCCCCTTTTTAAACACAACTTCATATAATTTTGGAACCAGAGGTAGACATTTAACGTATAAAGAAAAAAAAATAAACAGATTTAAAATAAGAGGCAGCAAAATATGCATGCATAGGTAGGAAGGAAGCTTAAAAGGTATCAAGAAGGAAAATGCAGTGCATGTAATGTGTAATTTGTTGAACAAAGTGGGTGTCGCTTTATGGTATATATATATATATGGCATATGGTACATGTGGGAGAAAACTAAGCCTCAGCATTATTTTAACTGACAGAAAAGGTAACCGCTAGCACTGATGTGATTGGCAGCAATAATATCCCCCAACACTGGTGTAGACGGCTGCAATGAGACCCTCCATGTTTCTTTTTGGAAAAATTTACTATTTATTGGTGCTTATAAAGAACAATGCAGAACCAATATTACTTGACAGCTATGGACAAGTTAACTGCTTGTGCTTCCTTCATTTTGTCCTGTGCAGTGGAACATAACTTATCCCACACTGCTGTCAAGTCGGCTTTGCAATAAGACAAAGAGCAAAGTTTAGTAGCAAAGAAACCATTCTAAATTGAAATCTGATTGATAGTCCTTGATCAATTTGCAGATCACCATTGCTTACTTTATTTTATTGCAGAAACAATACAAGGCAATATTCTAAATCTACAAGCTATACAAGTTCTAGGACAAATAAGGAATGTGATTCTGTTTTGATAGTTCACATATAAATAAACTAACAGGTTTGTCAAATAGGACAGATGGCAATTAGCGACATACAATAAACCACAACAATAATGGTAATCCTTCCCAGCACTGATGTTCAGTGCTTATTTACCTAAACACATAGGTATACTGTATAGTTTAACTGTCAGGAGGAGATCACTCCACCTGACAGTTCTGGTGTCTTTTAATAGTGAAATGCAGCAAGTGTTTGAATACTTGGCTCACACACTGCCAGCATATATGTGGTAATGGTACAAAGTGTACGCCCCCCTCCTACTCCAGCTGCCATCACTCTTGTCTCAGCATCACTGCAGAACTCCAGGTCCACCAATTAAGATCCAGAATCTATTAGGGCACATCAAAATTGGGACTTTCATTAAACATCAGAGACAGCATGTAATATTAACTATGATAAAAGCTTTGTAAATTCCACTAAAGGGAATGTGTGACGATAAAAATATGAAAGCCGTCATTGCAGACTTGTTTTTGAAAGTGAATGGGTCAAAAATGTCATCCTTATTATATTTTCATTACTTAGGTAAGTCTGCCCTGGTATGATGTACGGGAGGGACAGTGATTTCCTCAAAAATGTGTAAATTGTGAACTTTAATGTGAATAAAATGTCAAGGGCATGTCTGGGGGTGCCTTAAATATACATATGAAGTGGCCCAGCTGTATGATGTACTAAAGCAAAAGGGACATTTACAAATAAATACATAATTAAATGCTATTTAAAATTGCCATACCCACACTCCTGGACCAGTAGATGTGAAGGGAGAATTACTGGAATCTTGGAAGACCACTTTAAAATAAGGGGGCATCCAGATAGCAACCCCTAATACCTGCACTGAATCTGTGGTCACAGATTCACAAAAATGTAAAGCAGTAAATAAGCACACAACACCATGACAAAGTGTTTTTATATAAAGAAAAAAAGTCACATGGTGTAAATCCATACTCAATAATGTCGTTCAACAATGTAGATCCACATCAATCCTGATGAACACTGCTCACTGACCCACTGAAACAAAACACTCTTGCTGTTAATGACTTTTCTCAAGCTGGCAGCTCAATGTAAACAAAGTGAGCAGGATCTCAAGAAACGTCACTGACTAAATTTGACCATGAACACATTTGGTCAATGACATCAGGTAGCATCTCCTGCCACTTTCTTTACAGTCATCTGCTGTCTGTGGAAATTGTCATTCATGTCAAGAGTCCATCGGAAGTAGAATATCAAGGCAGACATCTTTTTTTTTTTTTTTCAGTGGGTAAGTGGGTGTTTTCCATAGCAATTGGCATGGAATCTAAATCACTGGTCAATATTGATTAACAATTAATTTACATAAAAATCTTATTTTTTATTAAACAAACCAGCTGGAGCACTGAAAGATGTACTAAACTAATATTTGGTCAATTATATAGTCCAGGATGCTTGATAGCGTGCTTACAATTTGAAACAAGCCAGTAGGCAGTGGGGTCATTGGTTGATAGAATGCTGCCTCCTAGCAACTAATGAAGATATGCAGAAAGCTATACTTTAATTTAGTGATGTAGTAATATTGGTGACTAACTACTAACTAATGACTTCCTTCCGCAGCAGCAGGTTTGCACAGGCATTTCATTTGCCTGGGCAATGAACAGCAAAAATATAGTGTGAACCTTGCGTAAATCAAACCTAGTAAATAAGTATCTGCATATCAGAAACTGGTCAACACCTGATATGCACATACTTGCTATAGTTGCCAACCATTGGTAAATACACTATATTACCAAAAGTATTGGGGCAGCCCTCCATATCCTTGGATTCAGCTGTTCCAATCACCTCCATGGGCACAGGTGTATACAATCAAGCACCTAGGCATGCATATTGCTTCTACAAACATTTGTGAAAGAATAGGTCGCTCTCAGGAGCTCAGTGGATTCAATCATGGTACTCTAATAGGTTGCCACCTGTGCAATAAGTCCATACTTGAAATTTTCTTGCTACTAAATATTACACAGTCAACTTCTAGTGGCATTGTAACAAAGTTGAAGCAACTGGGAACAACAGCCATGAAGTGGTAGGCCACGTAAAATAACAGAGCGGGGTCAGCACATTCTGAAGAGCAGAATTCGCAGGAGTCGCCAACTGTCTGTAGAGTCAATAGCTAAAGATCTCCAAACTTCATGGGGCCTTCCGAGTAGCACAACAACAGTGTGTAAAGAGCTTCATGTAATGGGCTTCCATGGCCGAGCAGCTGCATCCAAGCCTTACCTCACCAAGTGCAATGCAAAGCATCGGATGCAGTGGTGTAAAGCACGTCACCACTAGACTCTAGAGCAGTGGAGACATGTTCTCTGGAGTGATGAATCACACTTTTTTGTCTGGCAATCTGATAGACGTGTCTGGGTTTGGCAGCTGTCAAAAAACAGTACATGCCTGACTGCATTGTGCCTAGTGTAAAGTTTGGTGGAGGGGGGATTATGGCATGGGGTTGTTTTTCAGGGGTTGGGCTTATCCCCTTAATTCCAGTGAAGGGAGAGCTTAAGGCATCAGCATACCAAGACATTTTGGACAATTTCATGCTCCTGGCTTTGTGGGAACAGTTTGGGGATGGCCCCTTCCTGTTCTAACATGACTGTGCACCAGTGCACAAAGCAAGGGGTGGAGGAACTTCACTGGCCTGCACAGAGTCCTGACCTCAAACCTGAAAGAACACCTATGAGGATGAATTAGAGCGGAGACTGCGAGCCAGGCCTTCTCGTCCGACATCAGTGCCGGACCTTACAAATGTGCTTCTAGAAGAATAGTCAATCATTCCCATAGACACACATCTAGACCTTGTGGACAGCCTTCACAGAGGAACTGAAGCTGTTATAGCTGCAAAGGGTGGGCCAACTCAATATTGAACCCTATGGACTAAGACTGGGATGCCATTAAAGTCCATGTGTGTGTAAAGACAGGCGTCCCAATACTTTTGGAAAAAGGCTGTCTGTCCGAAATGTCTGTTATTGTTTTCAGAAAAAAAAACATCAGCTCTTTAAATAGGAACAGCACATGATTTTGTTGCAGTAGCACAGGCGCTTGCAATGATCTTTTCCAAATTTTATGTACTGCATATACTGTGGTGGGATACTCTCTTATCTTCCACCAAGTAAGAGACAGCATGATGTAAATAAGGCTTCTTCACGGTGGCATCCTTAAGAAGACATTATAACTCACCATAATACTATTGACAGTGCCACTTATCCAGCATATATAGCACATGCCCGGAAGTAACTCTTTGTATTCTCTCTCACCATGCTCTTCACATCATCACCCATCTAATGTGCTGTTGATAAGGCACTAAAAAAAGGTGTAAATGGTATTTTAGATTAAAAAATTACAACTGCTTACGCTACACAGTGTATTAGTTAACTAAATATCATCCATTTAGGGTTTAGATCTTCTTTAACCATATGCACTAACAGATGTGGGAATCATGCAACCTAGTTTTCTATCTTACTTTCTAATATTTAAGTAATTGCTGTGGGAGCAATTTTGACTCCTAAGGGACAATACTCCACTCATTATCACCAAGGCATAGGCATCTTTAAGATATGTGATTACATTGTGGTATTTACAATAGTATACTATTATCAGCTAAAGGCCACTTTATTGATAGAGATCAAACTAATTTTGCTAACATAAAATTCTCTAGAACTAGCACAGTTTGTCCCATTAAAATTAATTAGCTTATCCATTCTGGTTCATTGTGTTGCTCCTGCTGAACTAATCAGAGATAAAGCAATCTCAAAATCACAAAAAGAATTGCAAGAATTGTTATGGTTTGCTTATACTGTGATTGCTTTAGAGCCATTAGAATTCTGGGAACATTGTTGGCAGATTTGGATATTAAGCATGAAACTACTTTGCTAATAAATGTATGTGCTGCTTGGCTTGGTTTTCCAATCAATATAAGTGGGAAGTTTTCAAAAATGATGTTAAGACATTTAATCTGTAACCGCAAGCAAAAACGTTGGCATCCATATCAA